GCTACGTGTCACTCGGAAAATTTCCCCTTCTACGAATTACTTCAGATATACGTACTACTGTTTCCATAAATTTAGATCTGACAAACTTTTCTCTGTCCGCTACAATCACTTTTGCTTCTCATTAATTGAACTACATCTGATTCTCATTGAAACAAGACGTATATAACTAATAAGATTTCATAATAGAGTCGTAACATATTTCAGACGGATTCGAACGTACACTGATATTGCTCCGGGCGATTCTGTACTCGATAACACGGAGGACGATGAAACACCTGTTAATACATCCACAATACGTTGCGCTCTAAACGCATCCGGATCAAATACGACGATCTGCAAGACTCCAATTTCGATATTCGATCGGTCCTCCGGTTACAACACGACGCTGCAGATACGTTCGCAATTATGTTATCAAACAGTATCACATTCTTGAGATTGTGCTTATAAATTATGTTGCTTAACAAAAGAATTCAACTATCGCATTACAAATGAAAATATCGACCCAATATCAGTGTATTTTTATTTGTTATTAGTTGAGATTTGATTTCAAGAAATTCTTTAAACGCACAAGAGATTGGAGATTCGTTAAAATTAGAGTACTGCTTAATATCAAAAGTATTGAACGGTTATTTTTGACCGTACTTATTTTTTAGATTTATATTATATTTGTTAATGTAAAAGATTCTAAAGTTTCTTTTGACAGTTTAATAATTATGTCCTTTACATTGATAAAATATTTAGTTTTTTATCACTTTCATTATTTTCACAGTAATTTATTTGCTTTATCCTTTTAGCGAATAAGAAACGTTGATATTTTTAATATTAACTTTTAGAAAATTATTATTGATACTGAATAATCAAATGATTATTTTCTTACTGATAGAGAAGTAATATGTGACATAGATATATAAAATAAACTTTGTTCGACGAAATAATTTTTACCATAATGTCGATAACTGCGATAACGCAAACAATCGCGCTACATGGCCTGTCGCCCTAAGTGACATTAGAATGACTGTGATGTTTTCGATTAAACCGAGCGTAATTAATTTTTGTGTGCAAATGTATTATATAATGCAGTGGTTCAAGAGATCTAGCTGCAGCAGATAAGATAACCTTGATGATAAAATTGGAGATCTCTTTCATGTTACAAGGATATTATTACGTTTTTAGACGTTTATAAACGGCATTTGTTCTTGCAACAAAACATGCAACAAAAACTGAAGTCAATGCAATCCTTCTGCATGATTCATTGGTTCAACGCTCTATTTATTTTAAGGTTTTTGAATTGATTAGTCTCCCATATCATCCTTTTTAAATAAAGTAAAATGATTAAAATCTCAAAAATTTCGAATCAGGTACACTCTATCAAATATTTTAAACTTCCGGTTCCGGAAATGGACTATCCAGATAAAATGTTGAATTTTTTAAATATGTACTTTTTATTGCAGATTCGGATTACATATGAAAGTAAGAAACTTTTATTTTAAATATTTCTTCTAAAAATGCTTTTATTGATCTTAAAATAATCTTGAAAGTAAATAAAAAAAGTAAACTCTGTTGTAATAAAAAATTCAACATCCGGTCTAGAAACCTCATTTCCGGTCGGAACCGAAAGTTGAAAATATCATCTATTCGAACGTATCTGATTTATTAATTAAAATTTTTGAGATTTGTTATAGAAATTATTTCCCTTCATTTTAAAAAGGACAAGTTTGAGACATTCTATACAAAAACATTTGCCTCTTAAATTTCAATTCAAATAAAAAAAATATTCATACATATAAAAAATGAATATCTCATTTACCTTTTCTGTGAAGAACGATTTTGTGCCTTGATATCTCCAGCATCGATCCTCTCTGCAAGTAAATTTAATTAAACAATATAATATCAATTAATAAATAGTACTTGTGCGCGAAAAAATATTAGTGATTCAAAACAAAATTTCAGAGAGTATTGGAACAATATTTTTTGTTTAATTTAAGAAACAAATTAAGCAATGTATTTAAATTAAAAAAAAAACGAGTATTAATGTTAAAATTGTAGAAAAACTAAGTTGACTAAAGACTTTTATCTTGTTAAAGATAATAAATTTATGGATCGTTCATACGTGATAACGATCGCATATAAAACTCAATGATTTGATGAGCAAAAATGCAAGTGCTAAATTTGCATCGCGGAATGTTAATTTTAAAGACCAAATGTTTTAAAAGTTACAAGATTAATAATAAAGGAAAATTATAACGGAATATTCTAAGAGGGACATTTATTGTCAATGTACTTATTTTCTTCGCTAATAATACAAACAAATTTTTGCAAATGATAGAATTTGTTTTCTTTGTTATCTGTTATCACAAGCTAAGAGTTTTAAGACACGAGACAAAGGTTTGGATCGTTTACTCATATTTAAAAGTAGACATTATTTTCAATTGTTTAACGTGCTAAATGATTCATATATGTCTTGAATAACACTACTGGCCCTGTTCTCGTCGCTGCATTGAATTGCAATGGGAGCTTTTCAAAAAAGACATATCGACACAGAAGTCATTTTGTCTTTGTTCAATATTCATTGAAAAAAAAAAACAGAATGCCTTCTGTATTGATACATATCTCTTACGTTCGGAATGCACTCAGGTATCATTTTATCCTTGTGATTCTGAATGTTAAACAAACGATAAAATGATAGTTGAATGCACCTGGGTGAAATTTCTGAACGTAGCCTTGGAAAGCTCCCACTAAGGTTCATTTTCATAATATGTAGTTGTACTTAAAGATTAACAGTTACCAATAGATTCATCAATAAAATTCATTCATAAATTGATAACCTTTAATCTTTAGGTAACCATATATTGTGAAAACGGGAACTAAAACTTTCTATCTTACTTTCGCCAAACTTCAAATATGCTTTTCAAATAATCTTTTTTATTTTAAATATGAGTGTACATTAGTTTAACTACAAAGAAACAAACCTATCATTGAACTGAATAGCTTTCTGTATTATGAAATATTTTTCTATAATTTAAAATTTTCTTTTGTTTAAGAATATCTACCAATAATGAAATAGAATCAATTGCACTGCATTAATACATATTAAAAACTCCTATATAAAAAGTTCTTTAATAATAGTGTCACATTTTTAACAGAATTTGTCTTACCTTATTCTTTGTGAATGAACTTAGGATGTGTTCCACTTGATGCTCAGCAAGCATCATCTTCGTTTAACATTTGATAAACAACAAGAATAAAATAATTTCATAAGCATTACGACAGTACATTGTTATACTTAAAGTGAAAAAGCAAATATATTTAAAGTTTGGCGAAAGTAAAATAGAAAGTTTACTGCAGTCCATGGATATTCAAATTCCTACCCTACTGCCATCCAGGTATCATTTTATCCTTGTTCACTGAATATTAAACAAGAATAAAATAATATCTGAGGAATACTTGAGTGAGAATAAATGCATTCCATTGCAATGACTAAACATTGTAGTGGTAGACCTTATACATTACGTGCTTATATTAGGCTACATTTAGAGGCACCACCCGAGTGCCCCTAAGTATCATTTTATCTTTGTTTAATATTAAACATCAAGGGTAAAATGATACATGGAGGTGGTTTTTTAATATAGTCTTACTTTTAAACTTGAACACTTTTATACATTAGTTTAGTGATTGATCATAGCTAGAAAAACATCACAGCTAGCAAAACAACATAACTTTTACATTATCATTAAGAGGTTAAGTCTAAATCACAAGTTAATAAAAGATAATAAAAAAATCGGAGAATTGGAAAACTCTATCTGGAAGAATAATAATAAGAGAGAGAGAAGTGATTTTTGAAATACAGGCTGTTCGACGTACCATCATCTGTATCTATGGGGTCACTGTCTGAATGAAGGGTTTGACACTCCACCGATTCCACTCTCTTCACCATCGCCATTCTCCTTTATAACTAGACACAGCTCGGATGTGTTAAAGCGAATCATGCCAATCTACCGATCATCCCCTCAGCATCTCCACGCGTATATCAGCAAGGACCCGCGTGCGATGTGTATGAGCACGCACAACGCGGACAGGTGTTTTTCTCGGTTCACTGTTCGCTACTGAGATTACTCGCGCGAGATTTCTAACCTAAACGTTCGCCACACGGAGGAATTTCTTCGGAAGCGGAATGAGCGCGTTGCACGCTGAGCGTGAGGATGACTATCTCGTACGGCGAGAACGGAACGGTCGCGTGGATTAATCGGACGCGTGGATGGAGGAAACAATGACGGTAACGCGACGAGCGGAGATACGAACAAGGTAGAACAAGACGGCAACTCTAGGCGCGCGATGCGACGCGAGGCGACAACGCACCACAGTATATATGTAACGGCACGACGACGCGACGTGCGCATGAGTGCACACGCGCGCAAGAAGTGTGCACACGTGACGCACGATGCGAGCACAGCGAAGCACAGTATGTGATGCGAGCTTCCCAGTAATCTCTACATTTCCAGCTGACTGTTGAAGTAAATTGACTGATCAGACAGCTGACCGCTGTCCTCGGATTATACGCTTAAAGGATTTTAAACGTTAAAGATTATATATTATAGCAATTTGTTGTAAAGACAGGAAGAATAATGTAATACGGAAGTAATAAAAGCGAATTAATAGTCTAGATATATAATTAATGTGCGAGATATGGAAGAATGTATTAAAAAATATTGGATAATTAAGAAATAAATATTAAATATTCGAAAAATAAAAGAATTATGAGAACACAGTATTATTTCGTTATTATGAAAATTTGATCATTATTCGAACTTAGAGAATTGCTCGTTTTACACCAGTGGACATTATAAACTTTAATCTTGATTTAACAATTATTCGAACGCAACAAAAGTTGCACTTCTTCGCACTTTATTTTATTGATATCTATTTCTCCTCTTTTTTTCTTTCATATTTTTCGCGAGCAAGACAATATTATTTATCAATTATCGAAGGATCGAACATTTCCTCACAAAGATAAATATTTACTTGCGTTCATCGACGTGTATTAAGGTGAAAGAAAGAGGAGAGATATATGTTCTCGCGTGTTAGTGAGGTTAGTTTAGTTTTCGCGCGACATAAGTGTGATTGTGACTACTGTTGAGGTTAATCCTCCGCTCACGAGGGATCATCCGTTTGAGGACCGCCACGAACTTAACGAAGTTACATTACACGTTGGCAAGTTCTGGCAAACGATATCACGTGTAGATCTGCAAGTGGTCGCGAACATGATTTTTTACTTCTTAATGTAAGAGATACCGCTCGTTAGCAGCTCGTTAATGCGATCTTCTGCATGATGTGTAACTGTAAATTTAGCGTTAAAAATATTTTTTGCGACTAGTTATCCGTTTTTTTATTGTACCTTATTGGAAATAGATTCTTATTTGATGTGAAGAATTTTGCGCTTAGTCTCAAAATTTATATTGATTTAATTAGTTTCAGATTATATTTTATAAAAGCCTTATATGATTTATATTAATTAATTTTTTTGCAACTATCCTCAGTTTTGTCGTATGTTTTTTATTCATTGTTATCTTAGAATAATTAAATTTGTATCTCTTGTTACATAAGATTATTTGTCTTAAGGAATGAATGACTATTCTCAGTTGCAACATTTGTACCGACTGCCATGTAAGCTTAACTTTATATTATATTTGTAAAAATCTTACTTATGTAGTGATATTCTATAATACCGAACAAGAAATTGTATCTTTATAATCTCTTTATGATAAAGTATATCAATAAATACTACTATTTAATTCAACTTTATCTTTGTAGGACACCTATAATCCTATTCGTAAACATGCTGTTGTTAATTGCTGTATGTAAAATATTTTGTATACTTGTCCTTTTGCCAATTCTATTGATAAAATGGAGAAAGTTTTATTCAAAGAAGCGCGAGGAGAGACAACAGACTGGAACTGTTGTTGGTATTTTTCATCCATACTGCAATGCAGGTGGAGGAGGCGAGAGAGTACTTTGGGCCGCGGTTCATGCTATACAGACCAAGTATGTACCAAAATAACATTTTTGTAAAGTTCATATTAAGGGTGTTTGATATCAAAAGCATTTGTGATCTGTTCACCAAAGCTGAGATTATTTGTTGCACTGTTATTCACATTAGATGCTTAGCATTGGATGATACAAGTCGAAACAAATATCATTCTATGTTTGTCTCACTGAATGTCAAGAAAGATAGAATGATGTCAACTAGTATCATCAAATGGAAACCCACTGTATTTCTTATCTTATATATTGAACACTTCCAGATATCCTGACATACACATAGCTATATACACTGGCGATCTTGATGCAGACCCTGAAAAGATTCTTAGCCAAACTGAAAAGACATTTAACATGAAATTGCAACCAAATATCGAATTCGTCTACTTGCATGGGCGAAAATGGGTGGAGGCTTCTACATATCCTTATTTCACACTTCTGGGACAAAGCCTGGGATCCGTCTATTTGGGCATCGAAGCGTTAAACAATCTTACACCAGGTGATGTAATAGATTGTTTAACCTGTAACTAGAACATATAGATTCTGATGACTCTGGGACATTTTCCTAATTTTTAAGTAACATAATGATTTGGAATAATTTTATTTTTTATTCTTTTGTTCTATTCGTGTAGACTAATTATTGTACTATATATTTATACTAAGTTCAAATGTTGCAATCTTTAAAGAAAATAAATAAGGAAACTTTAATAAGTCCCAAAGATTCATATATTCCTTTGATGTCACGAAAAAATATGTTCTTGTTACGGGTTAAATATATTTGTACTATTTTATAGCTTCTATTGACAAAAATACATAAAAATAGATACAAATAATACATAATTATACAATACTTGTATAAATCGCAGACATATACATTGACACGATGGGTTACGCGTTTACGTATCCATTGTTTAAATACATCGGCGGTTGCCTAGTCGGATCGTATACGCACTATCCCACTATTTCGACTGATATGTTGAAATATGTCTACAAGAGAGTTGTCGCGTACAACAATCGAAGGATCATCGCCAGAAATCCATTACTTTCAGGAGGGAAATTCCTTTATTATAAATTATTCGCATATGTAAGTATACAAATCCGAATAATTGTTTTGTAAGGAAAAAGTAGACGAGTCTTTTCAAACAGTTATTCCACAATAGAACATTTCAGTTATACGGATTGGTTGGTAGTTGCGCCGACATCGTGATTGTAAATTCCTCGTGGACCGAAGAGCATATCAATACTATCTGGAAATGTCCACTGAAGACGCATCGAGTGTATCCTCCATGTAGTGTGGAGCATCTGATTGGAGTGCCACTTCTCAGCGATGAGGAAAAGAATAAATGCATACGCATAATTGCGATCGCGCAATTCAGGCCGGAGAAGAATCATCCACTCATGTTGAGGGCGATGTTCGAACTAAGATCTATTCTTAAAGAGGAAGTCTGGGAAAAGGTGAGCTGATGATTTATCTCAATAGCCTTCAGATGTATTCTAAACTTAATCGTGCTATTTAGGTCAAGTTAGTCTGTATTGGTTCCTGTCGAGATGCCGAGGACGAAAGACGTGTTAAGGATATGCAAGATTTGGCTAAACATTTGGCTTTAGACAAAAACGTTGAGTTCAAGTTGAATGTACCATACTCGGAACTTGTATCCGAGATGCAAAAAGGAACGATTGGTCTACATACAATGTGGAATGAACATTTTGGTATTGGCATCGTGGAGTGCATGGCGGCGGGATTAATTATGGTGGCCCATTCTTCCGGTGGTCCGAGGTATATACTTGGCTCAGTATTTGTGATCGCACTGTCAAGCACGGTACAACTTTGTCGTGATCGCAGGTTTGCGACAATCTTTGTTTGAAGTCTCTCGGCAATCTTAAGCGACGTCTACAATGAGATTTTAAGACGTAAAATTTAACTTTCGAAATTTTAAGGCATAATAATTTTCCTCATATTCTTCGATTGTAATTTGTAAATTTTTTACTTAAAGCTTACATTGTCGCTTTAATGCCGTAATGCTCAAACATTAATAACAAATCAGAATTGGACGTCAGACATATAAGAGACCACTCATTTGCTAAAATTACTAATTGATTATAATTTCCATTTAATTTAATAAAATTGCGATCATGAAAGCCAACAGCTCAGCCATGGAATTGGCTCGTAAAGTTTTCTACTAAAAAGTTTACTTTAAAAAAATATTCTAATTTTAGAGCAGACATCATAGAAACACGAATGGGTAGTGTAAATGGTTTTTTAGCAGAAGATGAAATGGAATATGCCAAAGTAATAGCGTCCGTCGTACAAATGCCTCCAAAGGTTCGAAATGCTATTAGAATTGCAGCCAGGTAAGATTAAGGATATTTTATAATTCTTTAATATTATGAAATAAGGATTTTTTTATATATCGATTTTTCGGTTTTTTAGGTCATCTGTAAATCGTTTCTCATGTGAAGTCTTCGAGAAGGAATTTCTACGGGCAATCGAACCGTTTTTCAGATCAAAACAAGAATAGTGTTGTTGCCTTACAATTCCTCTAAAATCATAAATGACGAATATGTGTGTGTAAATGGGTCATTTCAAAATCAGAACGCACTTTCAGTACATGTTACATTATCCTGTATGTATAATAGCATGTGTGTATGTAACAAAAGGGTGTCTTTTATGCGAGATAAGCTTTAGAAACTTTTTGCTTGTGTTAATTTTAGGATACAGTACATTAAACAAGTAATCATGATTTAGCACACACAGAAAACCATAGCACATTGTATATATAATGATGTTTGTTAATGAACTGTGTGTGTATTACTTAAACTAAACTTTAACGTTCTTACAAAATTCTCTTTTAAAGTTTACGAAAATATGTGTTAATATCGACGTTGCAATTTACTTAATGATGGCAAATATGAAAGCCAAATTGATCGACATAATACTTATGTCGAAACATGTTAATCACGTGCGCAACGATAAATATAAAACATCATATGTTCATTGTTTAACCACATTATCGTTAATCAACCCACATCCCTGACACTCCAAGATGTAAGACGAAGTGTCCCCATCTTCGGCACTTTTTGACAAGTTGAAGCAAAGTCCGCGTTTACCCAGCATTATCTCTGCAACCTGCATAGCAGTTTCCGTGTGACAAGTGAGCTTCTTATCTCCGACTTTGATTTGCGAAGTACCTTTCGCCAATGCCATTAAAATTATCATCTGTAATAAATAACGCATTCATTTGATTAATTTGGAAAAGTTAAGGTATCTCTTCAAACTAGCTACGCACTTACCTGATCCTGCGTGTGTTCGTCAACACACGCCCCTGCCAGGAGTGGCTTTAAAATCTCGATAGCCGCTGTTTCACCTGCCGGCGGTCCTTCTTGTCTTCCGGAACCTAATCCGGAGCCGCCAAGAACGCATCCTGTGCTGGTGTTACACACTATACTAATATTAAATTTTATTTTTACATTTCTGTCAATTTTTTTACCTGTATCTAATAAAATAAAAGATTTGTTTTTTTAACTGAATTTTTTGCACGGTTTATCTTCGTTTTCTTTCTTTTCATATTGAAGGAAAAAAAAGATAGTTCAACTAAAAAGAACAGATCTTAGGAAAAAAAATTTTAATATAATAGTTTCTTACTTAATACCAGAGCCGTTTCCAACAGCCATTGCTCTGTCTTCCCTGTAAGCTTCGATCGTAATTGGTGGTACTCGAATATTACTTTTCACTAATTTATTTGTTAAAATTGCTTTGGCATCGTTGGCCATTGTATGCGCCTCCTATGAAATATGTATTATAATTAATTCAAAATTTACTAGGAGAATTCATTTGTTTAATCGAAGTGATACATACATTTATGTGAACTGATCCAGCCACATAAGACCATCCTGTTATTCCCCGAGGATTTCCCAGATCAATTAAGGTAACCGCGTTTAAGTTACTGATCGGTTTTATGCGTAAATGCACTTCGCCTCCTCCCTTCGGATAATATCCCCTCCATTTGTCATTAATTTTAGTATAAATAGAACAATATAGCCGTAAATTTAAGATCAGGTACAATAAATTGAGTGCATATACCTCTTCACAACTACGAAATCAAAGTCTGCTCCGAATTTATTCAGCAATGGTTTGAACACTTCTGTCAGATATTCTATGTGTGGCCCCATGGGAACGTTCGTTCCACCCTTAAAGATGAGTGTGATCGTATCGTTACACGGAAAGAAGAGGGCACATGGCAGTGCTACTTGCGCCAGTAAGCAAATGCATCCAGCAGTTTTCGTGTCTGCTACAAACGTTCTCTTGGTTTTGTTTAGTGGACCCGGACGGAATTCCAAACGTGTCGATCCTATGTATCCACCTCTGACTTGAGCATTACACATCTCCTTAACAAGTTCCACACCTATAATAATAGAATTTTTCACCTCACATAATCGAATATAAAATATTGAATTCTGTTTTTGGATTACCTTTCAAATGTTGTGCCGCGAGACCAGGCTTAGGCCTTCCAGCTCGTATATTCTCGATTTCAATGGGGATGCCATAGAGCGTGCTCAAACTGAGAGCAATTCGTAACACTTGCCCACCCTTCAAAGAAGAATTAAGATTATTGTGTATTATAGATATCATGCTTTTTTTAAGAGGCAGTAATTTATAATATGAAAAGGAAGAAAAGAGAGTGAAAGATGTAGCTGTGTCACAACATAGAAAGATAAATTAAATACTATAAGAATGTTTCAAAGGATAAGACATATTGTAACGTTAAACAATTAAATCCAAAAGACATATAGCTAATAAAATTATACTTCAGAGCACTGCTCGCTCTTTAAAAGATATATTAGATATAACATGTCTATCATGTTAAAAAGAGAGAATGAAAGATGTAACTGTCAACATTGACAGATGCAACACAGATACTGTAAAAAATATTTCAGAGGACAAGCCATATCATAACATTAAACAAATTCAAATGACACATAGAATAAAATATTTTGGAGTATTGCTCGTTATCTAAAATATAAATATATCTATAATGAGAGAGAGAGAGAGAGAGAGAGAGAGAGAGAGAGAGAGAGAGAGAGAGAGAGAGAGACAATGAAAAATGCAGCTGTCAACATTGACAGATGTAACAGAAATTAAATATTATACAAAACTTGTTTCAGACAAGATATATCATAATATTAGACAAATCTAAGAGACACAGATAATAAATACTTTGAAGCACCACTCCGTTTTTTCAAGATATAAAAACATGTGTATTATATTTAAAATATAGTACATATATTTAATTTTAAGAAAAATGATATTTATTTAGAATTTTCTATTTCATATATACTTACACCCTCGCCCAAACTGCCGTCTATCTGCACGAGGGACGACATAATGCGATTCCTGAGTCTTCCAAGCACTATGATCGCGTCAAAGGAGACGTCTGTTCCCGGCGTCACGCCGGTTCCGCGTTTATTTTCGGCCCACCGTGAATTTCTGGGGAAAACAAAACTGTGTGTAAGCTGTTGTAAGCGCTCGTTCAGGGAAACACTTACATCTAACTATAGAATGAATCCTTGCTTATAAAGCCCGCCGGGACAGACAGTCCTTCTTGCGCCAACAAACGTAAGAGTCTTCAAATCCGATGTGTTCCTCTAAAAAAAAATTAATCTACTGATAATCTAATTGTTCCACAAAATTCCGAAAAGGCGCAATTTTCACGTCAGAGAATCTTTTTTATATATTACAGAAGCGATATATCGTGTTAATTTCTTTCTGGCACGTGTTGTCAATATTGAAACGACAATTGCGGATAAATAAATTACATTCCCTTTCTAACTCGATCTTGACGTGTGAGTTCTTATAACAATGCTGAGCAATGCTCCGAATGTAGCGTGAAATCAACATATATAAAATGTTATCTACGGAGGATTCAGAAATGCGGCAATGTAGTTCAATGTGGACATTTCATGAACATAGAGAACTCTACCTTCGAATTAGGACCTTGAGGTCGTACTCTTTAAAGAGTAGTAACTGGATGTTCTCTCTCTCTCTTTCTCTCTCTCTTGCTGACTCATTTTTTACTCATAAATATGAAGTAGGCGATAGTACTTAGCTGATAAAATCTTTCTCTTTCTCTCTTTAGCTTCTCTAATTATCTTCTCTCTCTACTTTTGTTTATATCTTCCTTCTACCTTTCTCTGACTTTTCTCTCATTAACTTTCTCTCTTTCTAATCTCTCTCTTACTTTTCTCTTTTTCTCCTTATTATCCTTTCTCTCTCTCTCTCTCTCTCTCTCTCTCTCTCTTTTTCTGTGACTTCTCTCTTTAGTCAACTCTTTCTTTCTCTGATTTTTCTCTCTTTAATTCTAATTAATTTCCTCCTCTCTTTCTAACCTTTCTATTTCTCTCTCTCTTTCTTTCCCACTATTTCTGTGCTCTGGCTGGCGCGAGAAGGCGATAGTGGCGCCATTTGACAAGCGCAACTAGTAACCGAATTGAACTGAGCTTCGTATTCTCGCTCGGACCCTTCTGTCCTACGTGAAGTGTGACGAGGTTAAAACAGCTGTTCTGCTGGATGGTCGCGTTGACAGGAACGACGATCAAGCGGATGAGAGATCTATCGGAAATCCAGGCACTTAAATGATATCGCGAATATTCCGTGGGGAAATCGAGAATATCGCGGTCAAACGCAAACGGCAAATCGACACTCTGAAAATCTTTAACGACAAGTAAGGGTGAATTCTCGTCGTCGTTGGACTCCTCTCCCCTTCCCCACCTCCCCTCGTCGACGTTGTAACCTCTCTTATTTATCTCACTTGAGCCACATTATCGTCGATATTATGCTCGGTGTCGCCCTACGAATGGCTACCGCGGAAAAATCAGATTGCTCGTTTATTCTCGTAGCGCTATGCTCTCCCGACACAATCGGAAATGGTCACGAGTTCCTCCCATTATGACAATAGCGATAGCTTCCAAGATTTCTTTTCTGGAAATCGCATTTGCGTCATTGTTTTACATCTCGCAAATGACGTTTTGAATATTTGTGACGAGCAGATATAAGACAACTGGGCTAATAACATTTAGATTAATGCTGGTTCAAGGTCACAGCTGGTCTCGTAGATTTTTACTGGCCGCAAGTATCTGCGGGAAGTATAATGCAATAAATGTCTTGCAGTGTGATAGAACTCAGAGAAAATGTGGACTATCAGGTGGAATTTCAAGCTGGCGAAAGACGAATGGCTATTATGGTTTCCCTGTCGCCGAATTTTCCATTGGAGAAGCCAGTACTTAGAGTTTCCCCACCGATAAGTCATCCCTGGTGTAATGAGCATAGTGAAATTACCAGTGCGCCAGGATTACTCAATGTAAGCGGAGAAATTTATGTAGAAAACTTATGATACAGAAATATATAAATAACAATAAAGGACTATGAATCAAGTTAAGTTTCAATGTTAGTTAAAGAATAAACACTAAGTTACAAGTCATAATAAATAAAGTATTATAAAAAAAGAGATATAATATATATTAA